TTTGACCTTTATTGTGAGCATTATTAATACTGCTCTAATCAGCCTGAATTCAGGTTTTTTATGCTCACAAGTAGCATTATGAGAAAAATGAAAAGAAAGATGTTGGCAAAAAATGACATTGTTTACTCTGAGATAAATCTGACAGGAAGAAATGCAAATGGAAAGAAATGCTAAAAATGTAGTCTAGTGTGAGCTTGAATGTAGACAAATGCTGGTGGGGAAGATAAGCTTCCACCAGGGGACAATGTCAAATAGAGGACATCTTGGTGCATATTTGGAGTAAGCCCTGAAGGGGAGAGAAGGAGCAGAAGTTTGACAACATTCAGTCTGCCTATTACCAACCTAGAAATTATCGTTATTCATAGAGAAAACTATTCTTCAAATTAATCACTTCATTCTTTCTCCTTGTTCTAATACAATCTCATACCCTTTTCTATATCACTAGCCCATCATATGCCCAAGCTGCTGCCAGCGTACCCAGGTGAATCATTTATTTAGCAAAACAGCTATTTAGGAAGCACCTGTTAAGTACAAGGGCCTGTGCCTGGTATGTTGAGGATATATTATGTTATGGCATAGCCTACTCTCAAAGAGATTTCAGGTGTTCAGGTGAGGTGGGAATGCATGATTGAATGAAGGATCACATAGAATCATAGGTCTGTTAGCATTAGAAGGCTATTTCATGTGCTCTTGTTATTGTATAGATGAGAAAACTGAGACCCAGGAAGATTAAGTGGCCTTAGAATCAACTAGTTATGGAATGACAGAAAAAGAGTTAGAACTTAGTTCCTTTTACTTTTGTTCAGTGCTGTTTCTACAACAGTATGTAACTCTCTTAAAAATATAATGCCTTGCTACAATCTTATGAAGCTATGGGCCATTTGTTCCTAAAAAACAATTGTTTGCTGGGGCCAGCTTTCACCAGCTCTTACCAGCAGATTGTGGGAACCTTTTCAATTCTAAGTGGAAACTGGCCATGGTAAGCGAATTTACACCACAGAAATGGACAAACACCACAAATCTGGGGTCCTCTTCCTTCCAGGGAGAGCCAGTTATTAAACATTTACCAGTATACTACTGCTTACAGGTGTGATAAGTCCAGACACTCCTTCATGAAACGGTTGTCATGTGAATGGATTTTCTGGAAAAATGAGCCTTCAACAGGGAAAGGGGAAATGATGGAGGCTATTAGAGCCCAGAATTATGGAGTGAATGTAATTCTGTGATATCAAATAGAGAAACTTGGCTGGATGGGGGAATATAGGACAGGAGTCCCTAAGTCATATGCCTGCAAAGGCCATGCTGAAAAAATAAAGGTGTAAATCAGGGTGGAGTTGTGAATAATAGGGCATGAGGGGTCTGTGGTAAAGCGATAAGTAAAAGCCTTCCTAAAGGTATTAAAAAACAAACAAACAAACAAAAACTTGCTGTATTCTACTCACTTTGAATTTCCCTTGGAGAACTAACAAGAATAAACCTAGACAGCAGTTTGCATCAAATCTGGCCCTGAAAGGGATTATCATTTTCCTCCTTAAATGATCATTAGTTTCCTTGACACAGTGAAGGCAAAATTTGGCATCCTAATTTATTTCTCTCTTCTTTCTTACCTTGCTTCCATGTTTTCACTGGGAAATATCTGTAAATTATTGCCTTTTGGTATGTGTAAAAAGTCATTCAACCAGCATTTTTCTTTGTTAGTATGGGTTATTTATAGTTGAGTATATGGCGCTATTCTCAGCTTCATCATTCTGTTTCAAGGGTAATGATACTTCCAAAGAAGTAAAGACTCAGTTATGTTTCTAAAGATGTTCATTCATATCTCTAGGTATCTTAAAAAAATGTCACTATACAAAATGGAAAGTACGTATATTTTAAGGAATGATCTAGAAATATATTATTTAATTGATTTTTTTCCTTTCAAAATGTCCCCAACTTAATTTCAAATAGCCTTTTAAACATGTTTCTTTTTTACATTAATCTATAAGGATAGCTCCATATTGGTCAATAGCCATTTTTTAAAAATGAGAATTGCCTTCTGCAGAGATATCTTTATTCTAACACAGTAAATCCACAGGATTTATAAAAAATGAAAAAAATTAATAAAATAAATGATTATGACTCCTAGTGAAAAGTTGTTCTGTATAAACCAAATATTGTAATTTTTGTCTGAAAAAATTCTAAAAATTCCCTAATTATAATTGCAACTGCAAGAAGCCCAGCAGCAAAAAAATATTGCTCTTTGAAATGTTCTGCAAACTCCTCTAATGAAAATGACCACCACTGTGTTTGAGATGGATGCCACTGATGTCTGGTGCCAGGGTTACATGTCTCTAGCCTCAATGATGGACTTAACTGAGGTGCCTCCTGGGATGAGCTGGTCAGAAGAAAGGCAAGGATGGGAATGGAGACAGATTTTGGCATTCAGTCATCAGAAAATGAGAGACAATCCAATCATGATAATCTAGTCTACAACTTTAGCCTCCTTAGCACAGAAGGACTAATTGGAAGAGCATATTAGAGGGATTTGGGGATCTTGCTTGCCCATGTAATTCTGCTAGAGATATAAATGAGTAAAAAGTAGATGCTTAATAATTGTTTGCTGAAGGAGTCAGGAACTGAGAGGGCAGGTGTTGCAAGTTCTCTCACAGTTTGCAGTCTACTTCACCCAGGCTCTGGGCCTCAGCCATAGCCACAGGTTTCTCCCTGGATCTTTGCTGCAGAGAATGATAGCACCCAACCAATTCCGTGCAGAAGACCAGGAGAATGCAGAAAATCTCATGCTCATGAGCAAAGTTCTGAGTACCAAAGGACTTGTGGAGTCTGGAAATACCTGAATTTTCCTTGGAGAGGAAAGATTAGATTTGAATAGGTGTTCCAAAATGGACTCCTCCTTCCAAAGCTCTGAAAAGTGTGTCTGGTATGGCAACATGCATGAACATGCTTTGAGAAGTACTACATGTCCTACAATAGCCAGCCAGATTAAAAGGTGTCAATGTGCCATGGGAGAAGGACCAATAGCACCATGAGCTTCTTTCTAGGGCACATGAAAATGAGTGTTTGATGTGAGATGTGTACCACACCCTCCAAGCCAAAATTCTGACTTTCTTCTGGGATGCCAGCTTTTTCATTTAACAAAAATTTCAGCCTTTCACTTCCCTTGCTCAGATTCTTTTTGCCCTGGGATTTACCCTGGGATTTTTTGCCCTGTAAAAAACTACCCTTTAATTTTTTTTACCTTAAAATATTATCCTATAATATTTTCATCCTGGGATTTACCCTGTCACAATCCATAGTTGGCTTTAGCTCCTGTTCTTCTGGTTTCATTGAGTTCCTCGTGCCCTGAAGTGCAAGCCATCAGTGTCTCCTTTCTCCCTTCCTGTCGTCACTCAGTGGGCTTTTCCCACTTCCAGCTCCTAGCGTTTGCATCTCAGTATCTCATTTCTTTTTCAGCGGAAGCTCAGAAAACAGCTTTGCCTATGATCAGTGATCAGTGACCCAGAAGTGCCTGGGAATTAACAAACCCTGGGAGCAGCTTTCAACAATGATCTCAGGTCAATTCCTGAGATATAAATACCCTAGCTTCCCTGCCTCTTGGATGCAATAACTTGAAGGTGTATGTTCCCTGGCTATGGGAGTTTCCTCAATGAGATTAAACTCTAGTTGGATACAATGGTAGTGGGACTGATAAGACACCCCATTTTGCATTCCTTCCCTTTTTCTTTACCCTTATACCCAGCATTTCCTAAAATTGCTATTTGCACTGAAATCCTTGTCTCAGGGTTTCTGGAACAATACAAACTCCGGCACACGTCTAACATTAGGGGCTCTATCTCTACTCCTTTTCCTTTCCTATCTTTTTAAAAACCTCTTGCTAAATCATCTAGATTCTATTTTTACAAAAGAATGAGCAATGGTTTAGAGATTAGAAAAAGGAAATTATATGAATGTCCAAATAATTTATACTTGTGCTGGATATTCAGTGCTTCTGAATTATAATACTAGAAGCCAAGGTTGTTGGCTTACCTCATCAAGTGAAAGAATTCAGTGAAACTAAGATGGAGGTACAAAAGGGTATCAATATTTTTAAGGAATGATAGTAACTAATCATTTATTGAACATTTGTGCTAGTGACAATGTTTAAACTATGTGTGTGTGTTACTTAAATTTATCCCTATAATCAATCTAAGAGGTAGATATAATTATTCCACTTTTACTGATGATAGATATGAATGGAGCTAAGTAATCTGCCTTAAATCAGTCAGCTCATCATGGGCAAAATCCAGATTTAAACCCAGATTTCACTCTTGTCAAAGTCCATTCTCTTAATGAGTCTACTATCTTCCTTATAAATTTTCTTTGAAGTAGATGGGAGATATATAATCAATCCTACTTACTGATTCAGAAATGCAATTGATCAAATTGTCATTCTGAAGCTGTATGATTATAGCTTTTCTTTCAAAAGGATTGAGCTGGTTATAAATTACAGAATAAATTCAAATTTATTCTGCTTTATTTTTTAATTTTTGGAAAAGACTACTCATAAAAATTCTCTCATAGCATTATTGGGATTATGCATTAAGAGCTAGAAAAATAGGTCAAAGTTTTAGACATATTTCTGGTGGCACATTTTGCTATTAGTCTACAAGGATTATAGCAGATCGCTATCTTTTTTTTCTTTTTGCATTTTGGGTTTTGGGGTACATGTGAAGAACATGCAAGATTGTTGCATAGGTACACACGCGGCAGTGTGAATTGCTGCCTTCCTCCCCTTCACCTATATCTGGCATTTCTCCCCATGCTATCTCTCCCCATCTCCCCACCCACTTGTCCCTCTCCCATTTCCCCTCAACAGACCCCAGTGTGTAGTGCTTCCCTCCCTGTGTCCATGTGTTCTCATTGTTCAATACCCGCCTATGAGTTGAGAACATGCAGTGTTTGATTTTCTGCTCTTGTGTCAGTTTGCTGAGAATGACGGTGGAAACCATCATTCTCAGCAGACCACTATCTTTAAATGACATTGCAACTTGAGGCTCAAATTTGATGATCCTGGAAAACTTGAAATGTAGTGCCCTGTTTTGAGATTAAACTATGGCTGCAAGTAATTTGTAGAAAGCTGGCCTCCTGATAGACTTGAAGAAGAAGAAAGAAAAAGAAAGAGGAAACAAATTAAAGTTGTTCTGTCAGGCTTTGCTGGGCTCTAGAAATCTTAATTTATAATGAAATAGGAGGTGAACTAAGAGGAGTACAATGAGAAAATAGGAATGGGAAAAAATTGACCAGGGACAGTGAATAAACTGCTTACATTATCTTACATCAGAATTCAAGAGTCTCCAACATTTTCATTTGCTAAATTCTCTCTTTTGTATTTACTCTGATAGTTTTACAATTGTGGTAATATTATAGATGTAGTCTAGTTGTTAACATTTGAAGGTAATAGTATCTCTAACCTGGGTCGGGTAGTAGTTTATTAAAATATTTTCTCCTCATTAAGCTGTGAGGTGTTATCAAATGGAATAAGTATTTGACTTTTCAGTGTGACCACACGATATATGTGTTACATAGGTTTGTCTTAAGATGGAAACATCAGAAAACCTGACTAAGATCCATCAGGATTGATGGGGTTTACTTTTTCTAGACAGTAATAAGTCTGAAGGTAGGTGGTTCTGAGCATTTAGGGGGGAAGACATGTGAACTCTCTTTCCTGGTGGCAAGTAGCAATCCTGGCTTAATCAAGTTTATACTCAAGGCAGAAAGAAGAAAGAATGGATGACAAAAGCTTCCCCAGAACCCACATGTGGAGTTCTCCTATGTCTCATTAGCCAGAACTGGTTATTATTAGCCAGAACTGGTTATACCAACTAGGGCTTATGTTGGTAAGCCCTAGCTGAAACAGAAACCAGGAAAGTGAGGAATTAGTTTTTCCGCTTGTATTGTGGAAGGTGAAAGGAATGGTGGTTAGGAGAGGGTTACAGAGTTAGCAAGCCAAGAGGGTTACAGAGTTAGCAAGCCATTGGTATTACAAGTGTAATACCAATGTGTAAGTAGGATGTATAAATATTAAGTCTAAGAAAACAAACTTTACTAGAACATACCAAGAAGGACTAATTAATCATCATGGCTACCCAGAGCTGAAACAGGCTCCCCAGTAGGTAATTCATTCTCTATCAGAGCGTATGTTTAAACATCGGTGAATGAGCATACTATGGAGAAGATTTAAACATTAGATAGATAAGTGGTTGAACTTTATGTCTTTAAGGTTGTCTTCAATCCTCAGGATTTGAAGATACTCTGTAAACCTTCTAATTGCTTGCAATTTGAAAATTGTTTTTTCTTTGTGGTTGACTTTTCTGTCATGTCCACTGGAATAAATCTGGTTTACTTTTATCTTAACATTAATATCCAACAGTGAGATATCTAGTGTCTACAAAAAAAAGTGTATTTATCTTGAAACCAATAAGAACAAAGACACAACATTCCCGAATCTCTGTGACACATTTAAAGCAGTGTCTAGAGGGAAATTTACAGCAGTAAATGCCCACAGGAGAAAGTGGGAAAGATCTATATTCCACACCCTAACATCACAATTAAAATAACTAGAGAAGAAAGAGCAAACAAATTCAAAAGCTAGCAGAAGACAATAAATAACTAAGATCAGATCAGAACTGAAGGAGATAGACACACACACACACACACACACACACACACACAAAACCCTTCAAGAAACCAGAGAATCCAGGAGCTATTGTTTTGAAAAGATTAACAACATAGATAGACTACTAGCCAGACTAATAAAGAAGAAAAGAGAGAAGAATCGAATAGACACAATAAAAAATGATTAAGGTGATATCACCAACGATCCCACAGACATACAAACTACCATCGGAGACTACTATAAACACATCTACTCAAATAAACTAGAAAATCTGGAAGAAATGGATAAATTCCTGGACACATATACCCCCTCTCCAGTCTAAACCAGGAAGAAGTCGAATCCCTGAATATACCAATAACAAGTACTGAAATAGAGGCAGTAATTAATAGCCTACCAACCAATAAAAGCACAGGACCAGGCAGATTCACAGCCGAATTCTACCAGAGGTACAAAGAGGAGCTAGTACCTTTCCTTCTGAAACTATTCCAAACAATAGAAAAAAGAGGGACTCCTCCCTAACTCATTTCATGAGGCCAGCATCATCCTGATACCAAAACCTGGCAGAGACACAACAAAAAAAGAAAATTTCAGGCCAATATCCCTGATGAACATCTATGCAAAAATGTTCAATAAAATACTGGCAAACCAAATCCAGCAGCACATCAAAAAGCTTATTCACACGATCAAGTCAGCTTCATCCATGGGATGCAAGGCTGGTTCAACATATGCAAATCAATAAACGTAATCCATCACATAAATAGAACCAATGACAAAAACCACATGATTATCTCAATAGATGCAAAAAAGGCCTTTGATAAAATTCAACAACCCTTTATGCTAAAAACCCTCAATAAACTAGGTATTGATGGAACACAGCTTAAAATAATAAGAGCTAGTTATGACAAATCCACAGCCAGCATCATACAGATGGGCAAAAGCTGGAAGCATTTCCTTTGAAAACTGGCACAAGACAAGGATGCCCTCTCTCACCATTCCTATTCAACATAGTATTGGAAGTTCTGGCCAGGGCAATCAGGGAAGAGAAAGAAAAAAAGGGTATTCAAATAGGAAAAGAGGAAGTCAGATTGTATCTGTCTGCAGATGACATGATTGTATATGTAGAAAACCCTGTCATCTCAGCCCCAAATCTTTTTAAGCTGATAAGCAACTTCAGCAAAGTCTCAGGATACAAAATCAATGTTCAAAAAAAAAAAAGTCCCTATAAACCAATAATAGACAAACAGAGAGCCAAATCAAGAGTGAACTCCCAATCACAATTGCTACAAACAGAATAAAATACCTAGGAATACAACTTACAAGGGTTGTGAAGGACCTCTTCAAGGAGAACTACAAACCACTGCTCGATGAAATAAGAGAGGACATTAACAATTGGAAAAGCATCCCATGCTCTTAGACAGGAAGAATCAATATCATGAAAATGGCCATACTGCCCAAAGTAATTTATAGATTCAGTGCTATCCTCATCAAGCTACCATTGACTTTCTTCACAGAATTGGAAAAAAAACTACTTTAAATTTCACATGGAACCAAAAAAGAGCCTGTATAGCCAAGACAATCCTAAGCAAAAAGAACAAAACTGGAGGCATCATGCTACCTGACTTCAAACTATACTACAAGGCTACAGTAATCAAAACAGCAACGTACTGGTACCAAAACAGATATGTGGACCAATGGAACAGAACAAAGTTCTCAGAAATAATACCACACATTTACAACCACCGGATCTTTGACAAACCTGACAAAAACAAGCAATGGGGAAAGGATTCCCTATTTAATAAATGGTGTTTGGAAAACTGGGTAGCCATCTGTAGAAAACTGAAACTGGACACTTCCTTACACCTTACACAAAAATTAACTCAAGATGGATTAAAGACTCAGCCATAAGACCTAAAACCACAAAAACTCTAGTTGAAAACCTAGACAATACCGTTCAGGACATAGGCATAGGTAAAGACTTCATGACTAAAACACCAAAAGCAATGGCAACAAAAGCCAAAATAGACAAATGGGACCTAATTAAACTCCAGAGCTTCTGCACAGCAAAAGAAATTGTGAACAGGTAGCCTACAGAATAGAGAAGATTTTTGTAATCTGTTCATCTGACAAAGGGCTAATATCCAGAATCTACAAGAAATGTAAACAAATTTACAAGAAAAAACAAACAACCTCATTAAAAAGTGGACAAAAGATATGAACAGACATTTCTCAAAAGAAAACATTTATGTGGCAACAAAATATGAAAAAAAGCTCATCATCACTGGTCATTAGAGAAATGGAAATCAAAACAAAATAAGATACCATTTTGTGGCAGTTAGAATGGCCATCATTAAAAAGTCAGGAAACAACAGATGCTGTAGAGCATGTGGAGAAATAGGAATGCTTTTATTCTGTTGGTGGGAGTTAAATTAGTTCAACCATTGTGGAAGACAGTGTGGCAATTCCTCAAGGAGCCAGAAATTCCATTTGACCCAGAAATCCCATTACTGAGTATACACTCAAAGGTTTATAAGTAATTCTAATATAAAGACACATGCACATGTATGTTTATTACAGCACTGTTTATAATAGCAAAGACTTGGAACCAACCCAAATGCCCATTAATGATAGACTGGATCAAGAAAATGTGGCACATATACACCATGGAATACTATGCAGCTGTAAAAAAGGATGAGTTCATGTCCTTTGCAGGGACATGGATGAAGCTGAAAACCATCATTCTCAGCAAACTAACACAGGAACAGAGAACCAAACACTGAATGCTCTCACTCATAAGTGGGAGTTGAACAATGAGAACACATGGACATGGGAGGGGAATATCACACACTGGGGCCTGTCAGGGGTGGGGGGCTAGGGAAAGGATAACATTAGGAGAAATACCTAACGTGGATTATGGTTTCATGGGTGCAGCAAACCACCATGGCACTTGTATACCTGCATTCTGCACATGTATCCCAGAACTTAAAGTATTAATAAAAAAGAAAAATGTTTGCAAAAAGAAAAATATGCACATATAAGGGAAAAAATAGAGAAAATTTATTTATCTCCTGTGTTCATATCTTAAATAAAACCTTGTACTTCCTCCCAGAAATGCTGCCAGAATTTATGCTGAAATAATTTTTTTCTAATGGATATGATTTTTTATTTGATGCACTTTAAACTTTCAAAGTCTTCATTAAATCTTGCATGCATTGGCTTTAAGATGCACAGTAGAAATGTAGATTTTTGTAGTAATCTCGAAGCACTGCCCCTATTATTTTACAAACTTATGAGAGAATCTCTGTTTGAATTTGAGTCTGTGTTAATGAAAGTCAGAAATTGTTTAAAGAGAAAAATTAGGTAAGTAGTGAGTTGAAATGTTGAACTGGGTAATACTGAAAGTTTTGAATTTTTGCCAAATACACGGCAAACCAAAATGTTTCCTATTCCCAGTACTTTATATGGAATAAGATTGATTTCTGCTTTGTATGAGAAAAAACTAACCCAAAGATGTTAGAAAACATGCTGAGATAAAAAGTCTACCCAGGAGCACTGAATTGTATTTGCCAATCCCTGGAATCAAATGAGGTTTAAAATATGCCTGTGAGTCTCCAGATGCAAAACTTTTATTATTATTATTTTCCTTTTCACAGATAGTATCAAGAAAGACTAATTAAACAAGGGTGTAGAGAATAAAAGATAAACTTAAAAAGAAAAAGGAAAAATCCTCAATTTTGATTTGTCAAAAATAATCCAAATTGAGTAAAATTTGAGACACATTCTTCTTCTCTGGTCACACATTAAAATAACTGATAACCCTCAGTGTTTGTGATGGTGTGGGCAAACAGGCTCTGTCATTTACTTCTGGTGGGAATGTAAATTGACTGAAGTGATTTGGAAGGTAATTTTTAAAGTATCTGTCAAAAGCTGAAAAAATGCAATAATCATCGACTAAGAAATTTTACCTTTAGCAATTTGTCCTTAGGAAATTCTTACATAAGTTGCAAAATATAGCCAAAAACATTGCCATGGTATTGTTTGTAGTAGTGAAAAATTGCATATAACCTAAATAAATCATCATTGATACAGTGGTGGATGAGAAAACTGTAGGACACTTGTAGAGTGGCAAACTATGTGGACTTAAAAATATAATAAAGTCTGATAATGAAAATATCTATAATATACTGAAAAAAGAAAAATTTAGAATATTATCTATAGCCCAATCTCACTTTGATTCTAAAAAGTATATGGTTATATCCATCTTATGAAAGTTTGGAAGGATATATGATTAACTGTTTAATAGTAGTCACATTTTGGGGCTGGAGTTCAGCATGATTTTATAGAACAATGTCTTAAAAGTTGAACTCAGCCTGAGCAACATGGTGAAACCACTTCTCTATAAAAAATACAAAAATTGCGCCACTGCACTCCAGCCTAGACAACAGAGGGAGACTTTGTCTCAAAAGGAAAAAAAAAAAAAAAAGAAGAACTCAATTTCAGGTCCATCTATCCAGTAAAGGCTCTGTTAAGAGTTATTTCTTTCATGTTAGGTATCTTATAAGTATTCATATGGTCCTAGGAATAGCGAGTCTTACAGCCAGGATGTGTCAAGAAGAAATTGCCTGAGAAATTAGTAAAAAAGGCAACTGGAAATTAATTTACTTCTAGTTTTGGTCTTTACACAGGCTATTTATAATTTGAGCTGCATCAACTAAATTCAGTGCTTCAGTTTGCCTATCTGGAAAATGGGAAGCTTACAGATAAAATAGCACTGAGTAATTCTAAGTACATTTGTATGTCAATGTCGAGCGATATTTATTTGCCTGTTCGTTTTCT